AGCCCCCTAGCTCATTCACATTCCTTGGAAGTCCAGATTCACTTGCCACGAAATACGACTCAGAATAGGGGTACCCCTGGCCTTGGAAAATGGGGTTTGAATACGTAAGAATACAAACCATGGGGATTGAATCAAGTACGATGGGTCTCTAAGCAGCTATAATCAAACATACGTGAGACAAGTACCAAGCATTGAAATGGGAAATTGCAGGTAGCTGAATTGCACGAGGTTTTTGAATCCACATGTGTTGTGATTGGTACCATGGAAGACTTCATTGATCCAAAGAATAGGTCGCGCTACTACGGGTCCGTGATTTGTGTCCCTACTAGGAGCCACCATTTTTTTATGGGGAACCACCATTGCTGTAAGCATTCGATAACATTTTGAAGGAAGTTGATCACCTCTGGTCGGTGCTTTTTTTGTGGTTTCGCTCTACTGCCACAAAGAAGTTTGTCAGAATACAAAGTCTCCTGTGTGGTTGGTTTTTTGAAAAACGAGGCTCCCGACATCGGGAATTTTGCAGGGCACCTTGCTGTCAACGTTGGCTTACCTCATGTTGAAATGACTGATTTTTGAAAATGCTCGACCTGCTCAAAGCCTCACATCAGGCATGAGTCAACTGGCATACTTCAACAGCATCACAAAAACACCGCACAGCACACACACACACACACACGCACACGCAAGGTCTACCTAAAGGCTCATCGCCACACACATCACATCACAGCACACGCGCAGCCTCGCAAGTTTTGTTTGGTTCTGCTTTTGCTGGGTGCGGCTTTTCTGCCCGCCTGGCAACTTGCTTGGCGCGGCTTTTCTGCCCGCCTGGCAACTGCAGTAGCCTAGGCGCGGCTTTTCTGCCCGCCTGGCGTCGCCATGGCTGCGCCGAATCCGGCATTTGTGTTGCTGGCAGACCTTCTGCGAGACTCGGTGTCCGACCTGCCTTCTTGGATTGGCTTTTACGCCGGTGGCAAAACGGACGTTTGCCACCCGAGATGGGACTCGGATTTTGACGGGGCCAAGGCCGATCGGGATGGCTTGACCGAGGCTTTAGCTTCCACTACAGTGGTGGTGCCGGCGTTGCTGCTCTGGCTTGATGACTTCATGACTGCACACAGGGTGCACAGCTGCTGGAAGCACACGCTGGACGGTGGCTGTCTCTGGCATCAGTTCGAGCAGGGTGGCGACAATTATTTGTTCAACGCCATGTGGGCCTTGACTTTGACTGTGGTGTGCTGGCTGCGCCACGTGTGCAAAGGCAAGAAAGTGCCACAGGTCCGGCTGATTTGTCTTTGCAATGCTGGCAAGCATCGCAGCGTGTTCTCTTCGCGGATGCTATACTTTGTGCTCCAGCTTCTTTACGACCTGCTGGGGATCCAGCAGCGAAGGTTTACTTGGCAGTGGGCCGCGGAGCGGCGAGTGCAAGCGGAGCTGAGCGAAGCAGCTCAATGCCGCGACAACAAGGCGGCGAAAGTCTGCTTCCGACAGGCGGACCTGGTGGTGTCGCGCACCCGACGGATGTTCCTTGGCGGCCGAGTTCCGGCGCACTTGCACAGCGTGCAGCTGTTGGACAAGGACCTTCGAGAGACGTCCACGACTGTATCCGCTGGCTACAGCGATATTTGCCTCGACACGCGCAAGTTCATCCAAGCGGCTGCCGCCGAGCGCGGCACGCCCCTCAGAAAAGCTTGGCTGGCAGACTGGCTGGAAGGCGCCGGCCTCGCTGCCCTTACCGCTCAGGGCCGCGCTGTACTTCAGCAAGCTTCCCGCGTGCGTATGGCCCGCCACTGGTGCCCTATCATGCGCGCTCTGCAGCAAGCTTTCCCGGAGCGCTGTGGCTTGTGCGCCTGTCCCTTTCAGCTCAGCACGCCTTGGGACACGCTTGCAGCGGAAATACACGAGCACTTCATTTCTACTGGGGATGGTGCGTCTTTTCTGACCACCTCCCCGGAAGCAGCGTCTGTTGCGGCTTTTTTGAACGCTTCCCCAAGAGCAGCCTCTGGCAGTGGTGCGGCTTTTCTGCCCGCCGCTGCCGGGGAAGGTGCGTCTTTTCTGACCGCCTCCCCGAAAGCAGCCACGACTCGCAGACCTGCGTGGGCTGACGTGCAGGACGACTCTGCCCACGCCGCGGCTGCGCCCAGCGCCAAGAAAAAGAAAAGGGTGTCCTTCGCGCCAGAGGTGGCCCAATCTGCCGCGGCCGACGTGGAGGACACCGCGCTGTGCTTGGTGCTGCCTTGCGATGCCCCACTAGGCGTGCTCTTTCAGCCAGGTGCGCAGACGCTGTCTCGGCGCGGGGTGGACTGCTTGCTTGACGTTACTTCGGACGCGACCTTGCTTTCGTTCCGGGTCATACAGAGCGCGGAGGACGCTCAAGGCTTGATTGCCTACGCTAGCGAGTTGCTGGCATCTAGTCGGGAGTTGCAGCAAGAGCTTGCAGCGCTGCAGCGTATGCTTGTTGCCGCGGAGGTTTTTCCGGAGTTGCCTCTTGGTGGTATGCCGGCCATGGCGCTCTTCCAGTGTCTGGTCTTCCTTTACATGTGGTCGGTGCTCACCTTGAATTATTCATTTTTGCTGTCCAGCACCTTCTTAAGACTGGTGGCTTTGCCGCTGCAGGAGGCGAAAAATTTTGATATCTTGGCCGTGGTGCACAAGTACTGCTACGTCACGTGGCTCCACCGGACGGCGCGTCCGAGCTGCTGGCAAGGCAACGCTCTCCGCTTATTGCTGCCAGACACTGCCGACTGGGAGGCTTGGTGGGCGGCGCAGCAGGACGTGGCGCACGAAATTGATGAGACTGCCTTCTCGGAAGAGTACGCGCTTATGTGCAGGGATCCTTTGATCCCCGAGGGCTACCGGGCAGACTTGAAGCAGGTGCGGCGCCATGTGGCTGCTTCCGATCTCGGCTTGCTGCCGGAGCTTCCGCCGCGGCAGTCCTTTATGGAGCACGATGTTTACTTGGAGGCAAGCGGCGCTTTGCCCTTGCCGAGAGCCTTGCCGGCCATTCGATGCTCGGCCGGGGCGATGGAGGTGAACTGGGGCGACAACACTGGTGAGCCCCTAAACACTTCGCGGGACAATGTGATCTCCGAGACGGATGTCTGCTTGCAAGTCCCGTTGCCGGTGCCTGCAGATATGACTTTGGGGCACGTCCTGCTTTCAAGGGACTGGCGAGCCTCTTTCGAGCAATCCAATCTCGGCATGCCTTGGTGGATGTCAGACGCAGGCGGCTTTTCTGCCCCTGCTGCTGGCCACGCAGGCGGCTTTTCTGCCCCTGTCTCAGCCCTTGGAGCGCAAATCCACTTGCAAGCTTTGGGAGCTGAAATCATGGCCACGCTGAGGCCCGACAGTGTGATGCATCCACACTTGCGAGCACACGTGGAGCTCATGCTGGGCATGTGTGCTTCCGTGCACTTGGCGCGCCAGGAGGCTTGGGATGTTGCCTTGTATGACTTTCTTTTAGGCTGCGGCATCAGAGCGCAGCGCACGCGTCCTGGCGATGCCGATGCCGGCTGGGTGGCGCATAACTACCGCAAGAGGCACCACGCTGCCCGCTCTGTGGTGCGACCCGTTTGCTGCACCATGTGGGGTGAAAAGTATCGCCCCATTGGATACTTAAACGATGCGGGGGACATCGAGCACTACTTGGTGCACGACACATGCCCTCTTGGAAGATGTCGCAGGCACAAGCAGCTTATGGGCTTTGGCACCGTGTGCCCACACTGGCATGGCTTCAACAAAAAACACGGCATCATGGCCACTCTGAACGCGCAGCGATACTTGAGGTACACGGAGATCGGAAGCAAAGGGGCTGACCCGCGCGCGCGAGACCAGCGGGCCAGCCAGTATCTTCGCACGCTTTTGCAGGAGTTAGGCTTTGTGGCCCGTGCGGACGAAAGAGCAGCAGACGGCGATGACCGCGTGATGCTCATAGGCCTTCCCCGCTGGCTCCCTGAGTTTCACAGCAACGAAGGCCAAGACATACCCGGCTTGGTTGCCTTTACTCCGCTGCACGCCAAAAAACACTTCGAGCAAAATGACATTGACGAGTGTCTCCAGCTTCGCACCGCGGCGCAAGAGGTGCACGATGACCTTGAACGCTTGACAAGACAGCGCTGAATGCGCTTGAGATGCGCCAGGGTGCGTCTTTTCTGACCGCCCGGCGCTTGCCAGGCCGTGTGCCTTGCAGTGTGCCTTGCCTGGCAGCATGCGTCTTTTCTGACCGTGCTGCCTTGAACAGAGACAAAGTGAATCTGCCCGCATAAAAAGGAAAAAGAGCCGGTGGGACAACGGGCGGGCGGATGGTAACAAAGGGTAAATGATGGAGGCTTAAGACTTGTCAAACATTTGCGGTCAGGCAGGCTCCCTGTCAGCCAGGTTTTCTTTCCAGTTTTTGTCCGAGCGGTGGAATAGTTGCCTGTGAAGACATGACCTGTTGATTTCTTTTGTGACCGTTTGGCCATGTTCGTCACAAACAAAACATGATTGGTTTTCAATTTGGCCCCAAACATGTTTGCCCTGGTTGTTCAAGCCTCCTATAGTGGTTCTTTTTTAGAAACTTCCGCCACCGCCTTGCGCGGTACTACTTGTATGATTAATTAGGCTCTGCATCACTGTGACATGACGGCAACTCCGAGATGTTTTAGGGGAATCGATGAAAGCCCGCTCTGGTGGATGAATAATGACCAGGGCAATGGAAAGCGGAGGTCGCTCCCTAGTCATCATACTGCAGCATAAGAAGGCAACTGCCAGTATTTGTCCGGCGCGCCAGTTGCAGAAGTCTTGCACCGGGGCCGTTCACAAAGATGCCGGTAGCGCAGTGAAATGAGCCCAAGCAAAAATACTGATGCTTGGCATCAAGGGGTGTTGCTGTAAGGGGGCCATATCATAAAGTAGCCGGCCGACCATCAACGTTGCGGACACATTTCTGGCAGCGGCCTTTTTTGAACATTAACTTGCTGGTGCTCAGTAGGGAATGAATGAATTACCCAGGGGGAGTGCAGGTGAAGCCGAGAGCATCCATGGCTGCCCCTGGCGCGAGGAGCGAGCGGCTGTGGGAAGGGAGTGCCCGCAGCTGGCGCGAACGAACCTCGATCAGTCGGTTTTGCCTTATTTTGTTGTTTTTTGAGGTTGGTTTTCTTCCTTATTGTGTGTTGTTTTGTTTTCTTCCGTCTTTGTCTATTTCATCTTGGCATTTAGTGCTTCCGCCCTTATTTCATTACTTTCGTTCTTCTCGATCTTTCTTGTTGTTCTTTCTTTCTTTCTTTCTTTATTTATTTATTTCTTTCTTTCTTTTCTTTTCTTTTCTTTCTTTCTTTCTTTCTTTCTTTCTTGGCAACTGCCGGGCAATGTGTTGGGTGGTTGTGCAGTCTCTTCGTGTGTTTGCTTTTGCTCCTGAGCTCGCCAGGGACTTGCACTGCCGGTTTCCGACTGCATCTGCCAGGGGGTTCTTGCATGATCCCTGAGGCTGTTGGCTCGCTGGGTACGTGTCAGTCTGTTTGGAACCCGAACATGACGGTGGCGTTTGGAATTTGGAATTGGTCGAATCCTCGGAGGCGGTGAATTCCAAGGGCCACTCCTTGAAGCAGATCCGGGACGCCAACAAGGCGCGGCCTTTTCTAGGGTTGAAAACCGCTCCGTTGAAAACTGGGCTGAATGGGAATGACTCCAACCGCTTGTTGGATTCTTTGGCACTTGTTGAGGCAAAAAATGCAACTCGAAGTTGTGTGAGCTGTTTCTCGGAGAAGGCACCGGATGTAGGGTTTCCCTATAGCTTTCGAGGCGTCCCCAGTCTGCGCGCCCCAGGTACTGCCGAGCAACCACATGTACAATAGGTGGTGCCCGAAGCTCAGGGGCTCAGGGCTTTGACACAGTCAGCTAGGGTCACCGGTCATCAGTGCAGCGGCATTGAATATGCATGTGCGTTAAAATTGGAGAGCGACCAACATGCATGCGGAAAGCTCCAGGTGCCGTGCAGGTGGGCAGCTGCTCCATTTCCTCCAAAGTGAAGTCCGGATGCCCGGGGATCAGTGTGGTTCACGGCTGTCCCCTTCAGGCCCTTCAGCTTCACATGACACTCCCGCACCAACCTGCGCTGGACAGTGCCAGTGGTTCAGTAGGCGCTCTGAGTCCTGCTCCTGTCGCTCAATGTTGCAACTGCATCTCCCACGTCTCGTATCACAAGCGTTCCTGGATTTGATCGTCATGTTGCGACCTGATCAGCAGGCAAGCATCACAGCCTGGGGCAGTTGCATCTTCTGTCAGAGCCAAACCTTGCTTCGAGGGATTTTACCAGTGCCATCGGGTGTCCATGTCCTTGCCAGTTGAAGCACCCGATATGGTGCAATGTTGCGCGCTTTCCCTGATATACAACTGATTTCCAAATTGATTCAGTGAAAACCCCAGTCTCTGACATTTTGGCCGCATGTGGCCGTTGTGGTCAGGTACTGCATTGCGGGCGGTGCCTCTGGGGTGCTGATCATGGAGGCAACGCGGCATGGCCGTGGGCCGCGGTTGCAGAAACTGCAGGACCCGGAAGGATGAGGTGGCAGAGGGGCAAAAGGCCTCGTTTTATAGGAATCTCCTTTGGAGAGGGCAAACTTTATGATATCATACCAGATTTGGGATCTGGCACATGAAAGAAGACGGCCAGTGTCCGCTTTTAGGGTGAAGCGAGGGTGCTGACACTCCTCTTGGGTTCCCTCAGAGCGTGGTACACGCCTTCCCCTTACTTCACCGCTCGAGAACATGGATCTGCTGGGCAATGATCAGGGCTCACTCTCCAGCAGGACAAGTCACCAAGCCAGGCTATCAGGAGGAAGCATCAAATTTCATTGTGAACCAAATCAGGCAGTTGCTTTCAGGGCCGTGAAGAGCTCACGGCCAGTGTACCCAAGTTGCCGCGTGTTTGCGGGCTTCCAAGCACACCCCCAAACGCCCCGTGGTCTTGCCTCTACCATCTCTACCATTGTTACATGGAACATCTTCACACTCCCCTTTTCCCGTTCACGCGTCTCACTCGAACAGTTCACGGCATCGCCAGGCGCCGGGCTCTATGGAGCCAGGCCTGGTGCCGGACCAGAAGGCCCAGGCGCGTGCTCTCGCTTTGTGAATCCCTCCGTTCTGCCCCCAAAGGAGTTGCTTTTTCATTGCTCCTCAATTATGGATGTAAAGGTACGGAACTTATTACTTGGTCATGCGGCCTTCCGCGCCACAGTCGCGGAAGGCCGCGGAAGCTTCTCTTGTCCGCGGAAGCTCGCGGCACTGCAGTTTTGTTGACAGGCAAATGACCATCAATGGTGCCAGCGATCAAGCAGCATTTGTTGAACGAAGAGACTTTTGCCATTTAGCGGGAAAGTAATCTTTCCTTTTTGGTTTCCGGAATCATCCCATGTAAAGGACCTTGCAATCAACCCCCTTTTGTCGGACCTATGGCCTAAATGAGACTGGGCTCGGGGTTGTTCTTGGTGGGGGTGGGTAAGATGCTATGAACCTTGTTTGGGCAATCTATGTGGGGCCCCTGAAAGTGGTTTGCCCTGGTGTTTGTCCTGCTGGCGTTTGTCCCCTGCGAGGGATCGCGAGTTCCACTGTTGCATAGCATCTCTTTCTCCCCACATGTCAAGAGTGATTGACACTGGCGGCATAGAGATTAGTTGAAGGGGCTTTCTTTTTCTTGCAGGTACAGCAGTTGGGGATGGGGTTGGCCAACCAATCACAAGTATGAGATGTCTTGAATCAGAGCGCTCCCTGGTTTGTTAGACCAGAGGACTCTTAGACACTGGTTGGTGCAGTTACTTTGACAGCTTGTGTTGCCAATAAATCAGACGGGAGTACCTTTGCTGGGATACTTGCGACTTTGTAAAATCACAACCGCTGTGAGGTGCTGCACATTTGCTCCTTTACGTTTCTGAAGCAGAGTGCAGGTGAATGTCTGCCTCTTGTAGGGTTGGATTCTTAGCCTCCCTTTTAGGATTTGATGGATGGGAGGACTTTGGGGGGAGAGAGAGAGAGAGAGAGAGAACAAGTATGGTTTAATGAATCGCTGCGGAAACCAAACATCCCGGAAGAAAGTCTCTTGGCAAAGCACACTGATGTGCCAACCCAAGTCAGAGTGCAAAGAGCAGGACACATCAAGAACAGGCCTAGTCAGCAATGATCTTCAGGTGGCAGATTGCTGGTAGGGAAAGCTAGAATCGTGAACAGACGGTGATGTTGCTACCATCGCATGTTGCCCATTTAACAATCGCAGAACGTTGTATCAAAAGCTGACCGCAACCATGTGGCAGGTGCACCTTTCCAGTGATGAGACTCTGCAGGACATGGTCAGCTGCCTAGAGCGCGCACCTCGTGCCAACTGGCACTAGAGGTCATGGGCAGAGAGCTGGTTGCGGGTTCCAAACCCAGCAAGCAACTTGCGGAGTGCTCCCCCATGGTCCTTGAGAATATAGTCAGGATGCAGAGGGCTCATGCGGATCTGCCAGCATGATTTGGAGCCCAAGAATGATTGCCCCAGTTCCCCGAGTGCTTGACAAAGAGTTGAGGTCCCGGTGCTCTACTCCGCCTATGACGAGCAGCTCTGGAATGCCCTCCTGAACGGCGAGGCTGGTGCACCTTTCTGGATGAAGACCGGCTTCCTTGCCTTGACGTAAACCTCAGCCTCCTGTCTTGCCATAGTGGTCATTCTTTGAGGCGGCTAACAACCAGAATCGCCCAAAGGCCAGTAGGCTACGCACATCTACCCTGCAGAGAGGGCAAGAAACTGCCAGTGCTGCACGGTTTCTTCATTGAGCTCGTTCTGCAATTCCAAGAACACCGAGACAATAGGCACCGCGTAAATGCCACATGGTATTGCAGACAGGACATGTTTGGGGAATGTATAGGAGGCGCACACCGACGGCCGCTGCATGGGATGCATCAGGCTGTGAACATGGAGGCCGGCCCCAACATCGGCGTGCGGCCGGCAAGGAACCTCAGCCGCGTTGGCCACCGGGCCAGGAGGTGTCCCTAGTTTTGACCCCAAAACCCCTGTGCAACACCCCATGACACCTATGTGTTGGCTTGGTGTTTCTTTGTATATAGTGGCGGGTCCTTGAACTGTGGAAGTTTGATGGAGGGTGGGTGAGCGCTTTGATGGGTCTTCCTTTTGTTGGAACTTGGCGCGGCCTCTCGGAAACCTTCAAGAAATTTGAACGGCTAGAAATAACATAAGATGCTCTCCAAAACGGTGGTGGTGGTTGAACAAATGTAGCCTTCGCCTTTTGTCTTTGTGCAAAGTCTTAGCAGGGGACAGACCCACTGCAGTCAAAGGCGCAGAGATACCTGGATTTTAGAGGTGGGTATGCATCCTGCAAACGCCGTGAGTTTGTGTCCTGGCACGACGCAGTTGCGGTCAATCGGGCAATATCCGACTTCCTTTGGGCGCAGCATTTGAAATGTGGAATCTTCACATGCGTGAAGAGCCAATGCTTGCGAGTCTGTATTCCGCTTCGCTGCCTGACGTATGTTTTGCCGTGTGCACCAGAGCTTCCTGCTCATTGCTTGACATGTGGGTAGGCTACCAGGCAATGGCTTGCCGATTGCCCTTTTGGCATCAGTCTCGCGTGATGAGAAACATTTACAGACTTTCAGCTCACAGCTGGAAAGTGCTGATTTACTAGCCAGGCCTGAGAGACAGTTTCACCAGTTGCAACTGGGCTCATCGCAGCCACTGTCTGCAGCGCGGCATGGGTGACTTCTGCTGAAATTGCAAGTTGCGTTGATGGGCCTGATTGAGTCAGCTTGTCATGAGCAGGTAGACCGACGCAAGGATTTGGCGATGGTTGCGATCCCAGTTCTCGATTTGATTACAAGCCTGGTTCCCGCATCAGTTCAACCGCAGGTGTTCTTGTCGGCAAAACAAGTGAGACACGACTGGTGATATTGAGGGTGCCACGTCTTCGAACAGCGTGATGTAGGCATGACGGGGCGACACGCCGTCGCGGCTTTGCTTTCGGTCCACCGCTGTGAATCAGGATGAACATGTGATTTCTCGCGGTTGCCTGAATCTGGCTGAATCTCCCAGCGCTCCTTCCACCGCATTCGAGGAGCGCAGTGAAATTGCAGGTGTGTGGTGTTGGCTTGCGCTGAGCACCGCAGTTTTCCCACAGCCTGCGGCGGTTTGGCCAACTCTTCTGGAGCCCTGTTGCAGACTCTGCATTCAGGATGGTTAATGCGAGGCAGAGTCTGCCATTGAGATGTTGTGCGGTGATTGTTGATTTTCAGCTGTAATCACTTGTGTGTTCACCCTTCAAGCAAGAAGCAATCGTGTTGGGTAGATGATTCAGGATGAACTTGCCATGGCTTTGCAGCAAACCCCACTATTTGAAAGCCCCTCTCATCAACATGCAAGATGATAACCGTGCTGGCAAAATCTTGGAAGCATCCAAGACTCTAGCTAACTTGGGTACATTGACCACTGAGCCATAGATGAAGCCTTCCGATTTCGCCTCTGGCCGTTGGCACATACTGATCCCGTCGCTCAGTGCGAGCCTGCCTAGGCCTCCACGCATCCGGTCTCCTCCGGCGGCGTGAGGGTCTATGACACACAGCGACCTTGTCAGCATGGCTACCGCCCAGACCATCTCGCTCATTCCTATATTCATGCCTGATATATACATATATATATATATATATGTATATATATATATAGAAATATGTATATATATATATAGAAATATGTATATATATATGTGTATATATTAGTATTATTATTATTATTATTATTATTATTATTTATTATTATTTATTATTATTATTATTATTATTATTATTATTATTATTATTACTATTACTATTACTATTACTATTACTATTATTATTATTGTTATTATTATTATTGTTATTATTATTACTTTTTTATTATTACTATTATTATTATTAGTATTATTATTATTATTATTATATTATACTCTACTCTACTCTACTATACTATACTATACTATACTATATTATAGAGAATATGCCCATGTGTTTGACACTTACAAATGTGTGCAGAACCAGATGCACAGATGCTTTCCCGACACCCATCATGAACATGGCGCTCAGAACATGTCAGCTGGCAAAAGCGCTTGGAACCACATGATTTTGATCAAGTGCTGCATATACCAACGATATTGATAGCGTGCCTTGCTGAAATGACAGCTGCTACGACTGCTAGGACCTCAAGAAGGCGAATGGTTTCAACTTCAAATATATCTATACGTAATATAGTATACACGGTCTAGGTATGCAAATGTGTATATAAAGAGCTGTATGTTGCTCAGCTCCGTTCGGCTTTCCATTTGTCACACCTGCTGTTTGACGCCATGCCATGATCCTTTTCCATGCACACATCTCACAGACATGACGACTGTATGTTCAAGAGGTGCACCCCCAAAACGGGCCCCCCACCCCCAACCCCCCCCCCTCCGACAACCCGACAACCAGACAACTCATCACTCCTAGCACTGCTGAGGTTGCGGCAGTGGAGCTATGGCGGGTGGGGCGCCCAGTCCAACAGACCAACCGAGTGTTATCGTCACTTGGTCTGAAGGGCGGCAGCCAACAGTCCACGTATTCACATGATGTAGATGTTGGCGGTGATCATTGGTACAGCCATGTGACTTGACATCTTGCAGCAATTCTCCGCTTTTGTCAAGCCATTTTTTTTGTCTTCCTGATCATGCAGGTCACGAATTCTCACTTTTGATGGAGGTCCTGCATGACACCTGAGATGATGCATTTGTTTCCTTTGGTTTCCGCTTCAAGCCTTTGTAATGCGTGTTGAGATGGAGAAAAACGATGACTAGTGGCAGGTGATCCCGACAGCTTAATTCGGTATGCGGAAATGGGGCCGATTTACAGCGATCTCCGTGCTCCCCTTTGGAGTGTTTTCCAGGTCTTTCATCAGGTTCCACGTCAGCGTAGGATGATACGTTCGAATCCTGGCTGATCAATACGGAAGAACCACGGTTGCACAAAGAAGGCGGCTTTGGTCGCTGCGCGGTTTGGGAATTGGTGACTTCTAAGGGTGTCACTTTGATTCCGGCGGTTTCCAAGCCACAGGAAGTCCATGCAGCCTTTTGCAACCACCGCAGATGGAGGAAAATGTGGTTGGGGTCTTTGATGGTCTTTGATATGTCAGGGGTATCAGGAGAAGGTGCTCCGATGACTTGAGTTGAGCCTTCAAGGCCTCAAGGTTCAGGGGCTTTGTGAAAACTAGGGGCCCCTTTTAGTATCCCCTTTGATTCAAGGCTTCAGCTACTGGGTCCAAAAGCGGGCCATGCTGCGGGTGGACGAAATCCTGCACCACTTTTGATAGATAAAATCCTTTCTGGGGATGCACCACCAACTGGTGCGAAGCGGATCTGGTCCATCCACAGTCGCGACCCCCCGCGAGTATCTCTGGATCGAAGGGGCGGCTCCAGGGGCGGCTTTGGGGCGCAGCGTTGGATGGAGCACTCCCAAGTCCGGGACGCCTGGACCTTGGCCAAGGGCACGCAATGGACCAGACAACAAGTCCTTGGCTTTGCTCGTGTTGTGTCCAAACTTGGGCCCGTGTCTCTTTGTTGTATTCTTCAAGCTATCCAAAGAGGGTCCTATGTTGACACAGACCTTCGGAGCATCACTCTCTTTTGTGCGAATGGGTGCAGCTTTCCCTCCGAACACGTTGGCCGTGTTTGGAAAGTCACGAGCTTCAGGCCCCCCTCAAGAGCACCTGGGCGACTGGCATGAACAACCCACTTGGGCTACGCCGGGTATGGGTAAATTAGGATGGACTAGACGGTACGACGAGCAGATGTTTGGATGTTGTTCCTCTGAACAACGGAATATTCGCCCGCGACGACTATGAAGACAAACCCACACGTATTTGGATTGGTGTGTGGCTCCCGGCAAAGTTGAAGTCTTTGCCAGCTAGGTCGAATTCCTCAGTGTGGGTGTTTTGTTCACTGCCTGATTAGGTTGCTTGCCTTTCTCTTGGTCGAACTTACCCCTTTGCTTGCCCGTCTAGTCGCAGGTTCTTTTCGTTTGCACCAAAGATCAGACGATCATCGCCTTGGACACCTCCAGGCGGGCCCTACCGAGGGCAACCACAGATCGGGGTCTAAGCAATCAACCAAGCAACCAGGAATGGGGAAGTCGCCAACAGGAACAAAGGATCGACCAGCAAATGCACCAACAAGGAGACATGGCCATCCAACCCGGTTCCCCCGCAGCCAAGGGAGCGAGGCCAAGCAGTCGCCTGTTCAACTTAGCTTCAAAAGAGCCAGAAATGGACTGTGCAATGCATCCTTTAACTGATTTACATGGGCAATGCTCCTTTGAGGTGAGATTGATCATTGCAAGTTGCAGGCGACATTTGGTGAAGTAAAAAACACCACGCGCCGCTTTCCGCCACCTGTCGTGATGTGTGATGTTTGGCCAGGTCAGACAATATCTTGACCAAAGTGGGCCAGGCACCAGCGGTCCACTGTCGCAGTGGAAGCGCGTGCGGGTTGTTTTGATGTAAGGACTTGGATGGGAAGCAGTGCAAGCTCTGGTCTTACACAGACCTGGTAGATGGTCCAGAAAAGGAGGCTGCATGCATTCCCATTTGATAAATAGGCTGCATCGGATATATGGCTACTTGATTAGCATTTCAAACACACGTTGATTTGCGGAACTTTCAGCGTCGAGTGAAGTAACGTGTGCTGGAGCCACGTACTATTACTGCCCAATAACTTTGTACGTGTGTTGCGTGAGTAGTATGGCGTACGATGGTGTGAATGGCGCTAGGTGCCGGTGAATAGGAAAGCGTGGTGATCAGCGCCCGAACATGTTTGCCAGCTATTCTTTGTGCGGGCGTACACTCCTTGGTGCAGCAAGGGGACGCAAAGAATTGGACCTCGAAACCGGTTGCATTCTGCTAGAGCCAGACATAGTTCAGGTCGTTCGCGCCAGGCGCCCGATGTGCGCTGCTCTGCTTCCAAAACGCTGCGCGATGCCAACATCCTGGACTTTAGACGAGGTGCGGGGTCGAAGCACTGCGCAATTGGGGGTAGGCCTCACGGAGAACGCACCCTCAACAGTCAAATGCTAGAACGAGAAACCAACCTGCCATGGTAGGCACATAAGCTTCTTCGAGACACGGAAAACCAAAACAGAAGAAGCTTCATGCGGCTGAGACACGGAACAGCATGAATCTGTTCAAGCCCAAAAAGCACCCATGGTGAGCACTGAAGGAGGCATGAACCCACAAGCATAAGACCTGTGAAGTACTATCAGCAAGATGAGCAGACGTGTGTCATTGGTGCAGGTTCGGCCAAACAGTAATGGAGGCAAGGAAGTGTTCCAGGCAGCTAGTATTTGGTGATGCTGTTTGTCCACGATTCGACGATGCCCATGCTGCTTTGGCAGAATCTTGGCAAAGACATTTGCCCCTGTGCCTGTGGCCATGGCCACACATGACAAGGACGAGCCATCTTGGATAAGGTCTAGTTTAATACTCTTATGCAATAATTTGTTAGGCTCTAACTGGGTTTTGTTGTAATCAAAGCTGATGAAGATATTCAAGAATCTGACTTAGGGATTTAGAAAACATATACTGACCAAGAGGAGTTTGCGGACTTTAAACAATAATATAGGAAGGATCGGGGGGGGGGTTGACTCTGAAAGCCCAAACCTTTGATAATCTCATATTGAAAGGCTTACTCGTCGAACCTGCCTACCTTGCTGTACTTATTGTAAGAACGAGCTTTCTCATCAAGCTATTCATTCAACCTTTTCTAGAACTGTAGGGAGTTGCACATATTGATTGGTACTAACTACGTCTTCAGCTTGGGCTTGAATCTCGATCCCATGTTAAGAAAATATTATCTTAAGATGAAGTAGCTGCCCCGGAGAGGAGCGGTTGACCTGTCGCAAACCAGCACGCAAATCACGCAAAGCCGGTGTCCACCGCAAGGCAACCGGTTCTTCACCGTCTTCATCGACGCAGAAGGCGACAGGCTGGCTTCTGGCTGTTGAGCCCATGTCTGTCATTCAGTTCCTTCAAAGGTAAATATGCAAGTTGCAATGAAGAGTTCCAGAGAGGTCTCAGCCAAAATATACTGCACAGCTCCGTGTCAACCAGCCAGCAGGAACCACCTGATCTTCTTCGAAACGACTTCCCTCTCAGCAGGGCGCCCAGAATATACTTAGAGAAGGTCCAGTGGCCTCTCCAGATCAAAGATTATAGCAGTCGTCAATCTATGCATTGCATGGCAGCTGATGAGTTGCAAAGCAAGAATATCAAGATGCAGAGGTCATCATGAATTTGGACTTCGCCCCCTAAGTGGCTTCTTTGCCTGGCTCAGCAAAGAAGGCATGTTTGACTTGCGCCGACGAAGCTTGAGGCGTGGACGAAGCTCTCCGAAGTGCACGCGAGCTGGGAGCACGAGCCATGGATAAGATAAGCGTCACCGTGTTCAACGGGAAACCAAGAGGAAACCAATCATTTGGGGTGTTCCCCACCCCACTTGGTATAAGGTTTGTTTGCAAGCTGGGCCTCAAAGACATTCCAAATAGCATTGACCTCGTGGACATACATTGCATTTAAGTCTTTTCGTGGTTGATCCAAGCTCCTGTCCCTCCAAGTAAATGAGCAACAGCCTTTTCCTTGTGCATGCCCGTTTTCGCCTTCATTTTCACAGACGTTCGGTCAGAGGGTTGAGCCTTTCTCCAGTGTCACTGGCCGAAACAGTTGGCGGAGACAGCATTTCCAGCGAGCAGGAATCAGGTTGCATATCATCCCGTGCATGTGCTGCTTGCAAAGTTTGTTCATTGAACATGAAACTCAAACACGGTATTCTACAAAGACGAGGCAATCAGCGCTAGCTGCGCACCGGAATGGAAGACTAATTGTAAGCGCTTCGCGTTGCCCGCTTTGGCCAGTCCGCTCGTGGCTGGCTTTGAGGTATACACCGTGCTTTAGTCTTGAAGTCTTGTGTTTATTAGACTGAGTGAGTCTTCGCCGAAATGCGTGGGCTGGTTTCCAAGGTAGAGGGTGGGTGCATGTATGCGTGTTTCCACATGGCTTCAAGGGCCAGAACGAGAGCCGCAGAGAGCTACGGAATGGCAGTGAGCTTGGGCAAAGCGAAGGTGCACATTTCTAGGAATTCGACTGGTTTCTGGGGGGAATTTTCCGGGTTTCTGGAAGGATGTGTTTAGAGGGGATTTGACAGGTTTCTCGGCTTCTAGTGGATTTGACCGGAGTTGGATCGGATTTGAGAGGGGGATTTGAGCAGGATTTGGCCAGACTTTATGGGGATGTGACTGGTGTAGATGGGAAGTCGACCGGTTTCTAGGAGTTAGGGGTGATTTGATCGGTTTCTTGCGTCTTTTAGGGGGATGTGATCACTTTCTAGGGTAGTTTGACTTGTGTTGGGATCCGGCCGGTTTCTAGAGGGATTTGACCAGAGTTGGATCGGCTTCGAGGGGGGTATTTCCGCGGCCGCGGGCCGAGGCGAAGAGGGAGCACGGCATGATGTCGCGCTTGGGGATGAAGAGCTTAGCATGTCGTTGGCTTCTGCTAGCCGCAGGTGGCCTTTGCCAGCAATTTTTTGGAGAGCACCATTGGCCTTTCTCATATCATGTCCCTCAAGCGCTGCAACTACCAGAGTCAGTTTCCCAGCAGAATGCAGAATTGACATCGCAAACCAGGTTGACCGTCAACTGGCCACAACTAGCAGCCACACGCTTTCGGCCCAAACGGTGGGGCATATAAACACGTATCATGACCGACTCTACAATCTGCACATATGCATGCACGCACGGCATGCAAGCACTGCGAGAAAATTAATCACTGATTTGTGTTGCGCTGGCGGGTGCTGATCAGTTCATAACTGCGCTGCGCACGTCGTTTTTTTTGAAACCCTGATTCGTGAGATGTGTAATGTTGACTGCGGCAACTTTATCCGTCAAGATCCAGCTTAACAGGGCCGGAGTGGCGCTGGAACATATAAACCGGAATGCGACAGTCGCTGATCAGTCTTTGGCCACTGCCAAGGAGACGGAAGGCTTGGGGCAAGTTGTGGTGACTGAGGACTGGCTGGAGTGGTGACGGCTATACCCCAAGGGAGCCAACAAAGATCGCATGAAGATACAAGAAGTAATGAGTTCCAGCCGCGCCTCAACTTGCTGCAGCCCTGGCTGAGCCAGCCTGGCTGGCCTGATCTAACAGCGTTGATGTCAGCCCATGTGTCAAGCGACAACGCCCTCTTGCATGGGTCATGAAGCCCTTGAACACATCCCCTCCCAGCCATGGCACTGCACTCAGTGACCCTCTTTGTGGTGCTACTGTGGATGGACGAAATCCATGTCGCACCACCGTTCAGAAACCCTGGAAGGATTCCCCTGTAATTGCCAACAAACGTTATGGTTTCAACCACGGTTTCATTTCGTGGTGGGAACAGAATTCGCAACCATCCACTGTGAGGGCCCATTCCGACGGATTTTCTCGATATTTCGCAGGATGGCACGAAGCTCTTGGTGACCTGGCAATGTTCCACGATCCACTGCGGAAATGCGCGGAGGAGCCGAGAATCGGCCAAGGATACGTGAGGGGGTCAATCCTTCAGGGAAAGGGTGGGTTTTCTGAACATCATGTTCTCGTGTCAGGTGGCCAGTGTAGGAAAAGCACAGCTTGGCAAGCGAACTTAGACGACAAGGTTTCACAAACACTGCGCAAACGAGTTCGGGGGCAACCAATGCAAAGCAGTTGTCTGTCGATGTCAGAATGCGTCGCGGTCAATCTCAGGAAGCTCTATCATTCTCACTACTCTGCCAGGTCGACGATGCCATGAAGCCGCGGTTCGACTGCCATTTCTGGAAGGTAATGTGGATCTTTGCCTGAGCCAGGAAGAAGTAGCATTGCCAGCTGGCGCCCATTCAAAGGGTCAAATTTGCAAAGCTGGAGAAGCGCTGCCGACCATCTCGACACAAATGGAGCCACTTCAGCACTGCTGATGGCAGCACCAAGCCGTTTCATACTGAACAAGCTTCCAGCCTTTGGGTACTTTGCGTATTTCGCAGTGGAAAGAACATCGGGTTGCGATGTTGGCAAGCACAGTGCCCCCCGAGGTCACAATACGCAGTTGAGTTGAGCCAAGAACGCAGATGCGGAAATAGGGTGCACATTTGAATGCAACTTGTGGCAAACTCAGCATGTTCCTAGCTATGTGGACAATAGCTGAAGCTTCTGAGCACGAGCAACACTGCTGCAGGATCGATGGGTCAGCTCCAGGCGAGCACGTTTATGTGCCTTGGCTGAAAACGGGTTGCTGAGATGCAACAACGCTGGGTCAGCGTTTGGCAACATCTTATATGCTTGCCCTTAGCAAGGAACAGTCCCAAGCAGAATTAGGTGCGGCCGCCTTCGTAGTTCTGTACATTGGTTTAGGCAGACCATTTTCATACTGTTGGTTTTGATATGACTCATGTTTGGTTGCGGGATTTCCAGCCCAGTCGACGGGTCCGGAACACGGAGGGTCCCACGGCAGGTGCTGGACCTGACCGCGGGCCTGGAGAAGGGCTACGTGCCGCCGGTGCTGGCGGCCATCAAGCTGCCCATGTCCGAAGGCCGCTGAATGTAGCCCCGGTCGGCTTGGCAAGCCTCCCTTATCTCCGTCTCCCTTAAGCCTGGGCCCAAATCAGAAGGCTTCCCTCAAAAAACATGGCACACATGTGGTGGTTGGGGCCACCAGGCAAGCCATGGGGCGTCCCCGTTGGCCGTTTCGGGTCCTGGGTTTTCCCTTGAAATGGTAACCTCAGGTATGCTGGTGTTGGGACTATTTGAGGTGACATGCCCTTCTGGCGCGAGTAACTGGAAGAATTGCAGGAACATACGTCCTGGCGGACACCTAGGTTGTGATTGCAAAGACTTGAAGCTCATGGGCAGAACAATACTTGAAAGCAGTATTACAGGGAGTAGTATAATATGGCTGATTGCTTTATTCTACAAGTCATTTAACTTTGAGATGATTTCTTGTCCAGACGCAGAGCTTGCTTCAACTAGCAGCAATGATAAGTGTGTGTCTCACATGCGGCCAGTCCAAACAAGTTAGGGATTTGCGCATCCGGCATGGCCATTCACACCCATTCGACATCACTCGAGCATTTCCAGACGGAAGGAACCATCCAGCTTGCTCCAACTCGTGGTGTGGATTGGTAGCCACCAAGCTGACTCTATTTTGCCTCATGCGACAGTGAACATTGTATTCATGTGGATGCCTTGGGCAATGTGGCCCAACCCGTCTGTGAGGCAAAGAATTCAAGCGGTATCGTCAAGAACAATCTGTTCACCGCGCAAAAGACCAATATGACAAGTGTACAAGGTGCATAGCCTGCTCATGTGTTGCAAAATGAGACCTTGGCTCAAAGATCAAAACGCCACCCTTCTCTCTCTACATATATGAACATACAAAGTATGACGTTATTCTGACGGTCCGGAAGTGGGGTTGCGCGAGACAGACGGGTGGAAACAGACAGGGCAACCTGCTTTAGTAGTGTTTACAGGGGGGATTCAAGGATTCAATGGTGACATTGTTCAAGAAGCGACTTCGAAGCTCGCGAACATAATTGGATTATGTTCGCGCGATCTCAATGCTGCCGAGGCGCTCAAAGTAGAACATCAGGATGGTCATCGAGCAAAAACACTGGGAATACAGCTGTTTTTCAACACAAACTTGTTATTCAGTGCATTTGAATCGTCACAAAACACTGCGAGGGCCCATGTGAAATGGACGCGGCTTTGGAAACACTGCAAAAAACAGTACAAATGCAAGTCCCCTGCAAGTTGACAAAGTGAGAGTCGTCTATGTATTGGATCCAGAAGCCCACCGCGGCCGAAACTTGTGTTGGGTGGGGTCACTTGGGCGGGGGTGCTTACCATGTGTTGGGTGGGATTACTTGGGCGGGGGTGCTTACCATGTGTTGGGTGGGATCACTTGGCGGGGGTGCTTACCATGTGTTGATATTACACTACACTGTATTATATGATATTATAGTATTTTATTGTAGTATATGTCTATTATATTACACTACTCAATACTTATGCTATTTTATATCATATCATATTGTCTTGTATTGTTTTACATGTCATTACACTTCATTATATGGTATTGTATCATGTCATTATGTTGTGTCATGTTATGTCCTGTCATGTTCTGAGTTATATATGTACATATATATATATATATACATATGTACATATTATGTGTATACATAATATATATATATATATATCAGTTCGGGAGATTGGGTCATGCTTCCCAGCTAGACTGGATCACGGTTACGAATGAAACCTTGCAGAGTGTGTAGGGTCCCGCAGGTTCCATTGTCCGGGATATCGAATGCAATGAGCAGCTGATGCCTCAGAGAGATGTGCGGAGGGGGGGTGCATTGCAATTTCTACTGGTTGCGTTGCTTGGCCTTAGCATCCAGAATGGGTCGTGGCTCGAATTGAATGCGCTTGGCCATGATCCGCGTTTCTTGGATTTCCATCGGCTGAGAAAGATATGCAAGCGACCAATCAGAGCAAAGCATGCTTGGAAAGAAGCCACAATTTGGACGGGACCTTGGGCGGCACAAGGCTTTGCATGTTTGCGCATGTTCTATTTGTGGTAGACCAACGGATAGGTTTGAGCCAAAGTCTTTCCGGCCGCTGGACCGCAGGAACCTGTGCCTTGCAAGCCTCTCCTGGGATGGGGTGGTAGTGCTCGACATGGCAGAGGGGCCGAACAGGCCTGGGCTTGCCGTGAATTCCAAAACCTCGTTGGCCATGGAGACACCTGGTTTCATATGCGAGGGCTACATAAAGCTTTGTGTCCATCTTGTTGCTTAAATGTTGTTTCGTTGTTTCTTGTTGCTTCGGTACTGAGCCACCAAGTCCTGACACGTTGGAGGATATGCTGAAGCAGCGTAATCAACGAGGGCGGGAGTACAGCTTCCGGCATGGCAGGTTCAAAGTGGTGGCACAGCACAGCGCTTCCTTCGCAGGCCATGCAGTGTCTCTGGCGAGAGGGGCGGGACAAAGTGTCACACAGCCCCGATAAGCCACACCAATCAACTGCTCTGCTTTTTGCTTGGGATGGCCAGGCTGGCGCAGTTGACTTAGAGCATTTGGATAGTTGAAGTTAAGCAGAGGACAGTCCCATTCAAAAGTTGGTATAGCTGGTCTTTGATTCTTTGCATGCTTTTGGGCGGTCTTCGATCCGGGTGTTGATTATTACTCATGACTCATAGCCATCCCTGCAAAAGGTCGCTTTGGCGGTTGGTTGCTTCGGTCTCCAGTTTGGATCGTGCTGCTGTGGTATGTTTTGTAGTTCGGGCTGCAAGCTGGCCATAGAGCATAGACACAGGGCGTAAACATCAGCATGTGAGCAGTTGATGGTTGTTCGGAGTTCCCCATTTGCCCACCTTGGCATGTCCAAGTGCCTGATTGGCAATCTGGCGCATGCACTATGGGAAGCTTCCCGTGGATAATGCGGCTTGTTTGCGGGCAACAGCAAGGGCTCTTTCAGATCGAGAAAATTGCATGTGGCAATCGCCTCATCAATCACTTAGCAGCTGTATAGTTGCTGACTCCTGGGCAGACTCACCTGCCTAATCAATGCAAACCACGGGGCATCATTGTGTCGCTCAATTTGATAGTCCTGCTCGAGTCGTCCCGTGACTTGTGCGTGACTTGCAATCAAGAAATCGTGCCGGCCGAGGCAGGCTAAATCCTCAGCATTCAGTGGCAATCAGCACTCCTGCCTGCTTAGTCCATGAGCATCGATATGATAGGTGCTAGTGATATCCCAACATTCAAGACCAACACAAACCCCTGCAAAGCGTCATCAGCGTGAGTGCCTTATTCGCGTGGCCTGTACAGGCTGGCAGATTGGTGGAGATGGCGATGATCTTTCGCCGGATCTCTCTTACCTTCGTATGGCGCGGCACCCAGCACGTTCGAGCTTTCCCATCGTCTCACCCCCTCTCACCCTCCCTTCCCACTGTGATGGAAGCTGGGGCAACGATGGAAAACACGGGCAGTGTTCGTTGCAAAGAACAGTACTCCCTGCTTGGTGGCAGTGCATTTGCCGCCCAGGTGGCAGGAGCTCAAAAGGTGATCGCCAGCAGGACTGTGGGCGTGTTGTTCTGATGTCCTACATTAATCGATACATTTAACAGCTAGCTCGTCCGAAGAGTTGTTAGAGACACACCCGGCCTTACGCGTCAGATCACTTTGACGCAGTCAACAATGAAATGCGGTCAAGTGAGGCGAGTTCAAGATAATCGAGCATCACCCGCGGCCGCTTGTTGGGTTGAGAAGCCTCTTTGGCGGTATTTGGTTCTTCAAGACCCTCTTTGAGATTGCTCAAAGGGATGGAAGCAGAACGCCAAAGCAAGAGGTGTCACTCAGGTTGAGCGCACAACCATGTCCACACTCCCTGATTGAAGGCGGGAACTTTGGTCAGAGCTCGAATGCTTCCTTCTGCAGGAGCCGGCCCAATCGATTCTACATCGAGAGATGGTCCTTTGATATGCCGGGATGGCAGCTTGGCCATCTGTTTAAGCAGCTTGAAGCCTGTTCAGCTTTAGCATGTCAGACCTGACATTCGCAGCTCAGGTCTGCTGGCAATCCTATTGACTCCAGCTTGTGCCTCAATGGGGCGAGATCCGGCCAGTTTCTTCCCTTCTAGGATTGGCGAATTTGGTCCTGCCATCTTACATTACCATATCCTTGCCACGCTTGATCATTCAGCCACAGGACAACCTGTCGGACATGTTTTGTTTTCTTGGGGCTGGCTTTGCTGAAGTCGGAACTCACAGCCGTGACGGCACCCGCCGATCGGAAGCAGTCCGGCAGTTCCAGGAAGTGGAGGTGGAGTTAGGAAGGATGTGCAAGTTCGGTGTTGACGTCCACAGCTTCGCTGCGTGACTTCGCTCGAGCCTTCCGAGCAACTGTATGAGTCGGTTTTGAAGGAAGGCTCCAAAGCCGGGGCAATCCATCAGGATGAGCGAGTTGAGTTGTCTTGTAAGTAAGCCTTGGGCTTTGTAGCATTTGGCACTTTCAGAGCAATGAGTTGTGATGTGTCTGACAGTAGGGTTGCTAGGTGTGCAACTTAGTCGCCCTTTCCGAGCAAGACGAAGTAGCAAGTCTTATTACAACTTTGGCATGATGCTCTCTTTCAAGATGGTCATTGTTTTTTCAGTTGGACACATGTTTGGTTTGCATGGTCCCCTGAAAGTATCCTCTTGGAGGGTGGTTTTGAAGCTGGCAAAGGACAACCCTGACTTCTTTGGGGTCAAAGTCCGCTGGCACTACTAGGCTTGCGCTTTGACAGCATTTGGGCGGTGGACGTGGATCACTACGCCGGGGCCTTTGGATTTCAGATCGAAACTGCGCCCGAACAGGTGGTTTCTGGTGGCCTTCACGTTTTGTTTGCGGCACTTTCTGCTTGAATGTCCGGGAGAAGGGAGAGAGGCAAGCAAAAAAGCAAAAAGAGAGGAGGGGAAGTTCCCCATCACCGAAACCGGCACCGGATGCGGTTTTCAGGTACGGCCCAGCTTTGACTCCGGGGTGCCACCCCAGTTCGACCCAGCGGCCTGCGGACCCGGATGCGTCGCCCGTGAGAAATGCGAGGGAGCCGTTGCAATCTGCCGCTCTGGGAGTAAAACGAGCTCCCCATGTGGGCCCTTCATAGGGATCCTTTATGATTCAGATTTTGGAATTCTTGGAATTTGAGATCCCTGGTGTCACGCGCGCGAATGTGACAAGTGTTTGGCTAGTTCTGCTTCAAAGTGAGAGAGCATGTAGACGTTCATTGATGGCCGTCTTGGTATGCATCGGTATGAATCGGCAGCTTTTTCAGGTGCTGCCTGCGCTGCTCAATGCTTTGAATCATTGAAGCCAAACCTCCTTTGAGTGAAAGATGGTTTCCACGGTACCTGCATCAGGACCCTTCATGTGCACTCAGGTCTCTGCCGCGATGCATCTCCCAGCAGTTGCTTGGGCGTCCGTGTACGCTGCCCAGACTTGGTGACACAGTTCGCAGCAGCCAGCTATCCACAATCACTGAACACCTTAGCATACCACCCTTAGATATTGATCTTGTGATGCGCACGTATAGAGTGTATTTAGAGTACCTGATTAGCAGGCAAATGTCGATAAGATTAGCATGTTGATTGGAACTCCATGTGAACTTAGATGTTCTTTGTAGGTATGTAGCTTAGTTGCTGTTTGCGGGTCATGGTTGTGTTCAATGGGGACTGCAACAAACGGTTTTTTTGTGCCGACATACCAGAGCGAGCGAATGAAAAGATATGACCGGTGAGGCATAAGACATAATATCAGTTGTCGCTAAGGCCCGATGGCATTTTCCTTCCAGCTTTCTACTGCAATGCTGGGGCTCAAGTTACATACATTGGCGCTGGTTCTACCCTGTTCAAGCCAGTCTATGGCCACATGATGTATTTGCTCTCCAGAGCCGGGCGGCATGCGAGGGCAGCATCTGGTTGTTGATCCAGGCGATGTTCAGCCAGCTTCTTGTTGCGTGTTGCAACCCGTTCTGCAAGCTTTGTCAATATCAATTGGCCAATAGTTCACCAGCAAGGGAATCAGGGAAGTTTCGTGGCCTAGCAGATGTGCTTTGTTTGACCTAGCTCCTTCCACTGCCCAACTTGTTGACAAAGTTAAGCTTGTCTCAAAAGAAGGGGGAACCCCCCCCCCCAAACCGCGTGTTTTTCTCTTGAATGCCCCTTTGAACCCCGCCAAAACGGGCACCCCATAAAAGGCGCGCAGCCATTTCACGTGCCAGGTATGGCAGGCAAGACCAGTTCAAGAATGAGATGGCCGAGAGCCTGCAGGCGCTTGAGACTCGAATGAGACTCGGAGGTCTATACAAAATTGGATTCCCGGCCTCCAAATTTGGGTTGTTTCCATCGGCTTCCCTTTAACCACCAAAAAGGGTTCACATTCTGATCTCGAAACCTCCGCTTTGGTATCGGTTTGTGTTGTCGGACACCAAGCATGGAATAAACTGGCGGGGAAAATTAGATGTTGTTCAAGCGATTTAGCCAGGCTTGAAGCAGCAAGAGGGCTGTGACTCAGCCCCCGCTGGCGAAATTGTGAGGCGTGAACTGAAGAGACTCCTGACTTTAGATTGGCCCAGAATGAGAGTTGCTAGCTCGCGAACAGTCTGTCCTACCTGGGTAGGCTCTGCTCTTTTTTGGCTGTGCTGTTGCATGCAGCGCTTGATCGAACGTCTCCATAATGAGGAGGCGTCAACTGCGTTGCCCTGAGAATGACATGTCTCGCAAGCATTTGCATGAGACTGGAAATCGGTGAACAAAGTCGCGTTGGATAGGATCCAAGTTTGATTGCCAAAGCAGCAAACGCCAGGCAGATGCTTAAAGAACTTGACGCGATTCACGAGCATGTGCGACCAGTTGCATGCAGGTTTCTACAACAACATGTCAGGCCTCCCACGTTGCGTTTCAAAAAAGGGGGCAAAGTTCACGCAGTGGCTCTTTGCGTGGCGAGCGCAGGTTGGCCTGGGGATTGACGGCTCGCGGGTAGTCGTGACCTGGCAAAGAGAATGTGGTGCGCGGCCTTGTGCAAAATGGGAAGGGTGAGATGCAGTTTACAGGGAAGGCTAGTTATTTGCCCGTCGCAAACCTCCCTACCGCGCCGGCACACAGTATACAATGGTGACTGGGATGGAAGAGAAGGAGTCTGTAAAACTGGTTGTGACAAGAATGCCTCGACTTCTGAGAGCATGTTACAACTTGATGGCTCGGTTCCGTGGGACTTTGGAACTGCGCGTATTTGGCTTGAGGTTACTGCTGCCAGACCCGCGAAGAGCGAGGCAGGAGCCGCACGCCTGTTGTGAAGTGATTCGCATATGCCGTTGTCATTCCAAGATTCCAAGCCCATAAGCGAACGGTTTCAGGGCATCGGGCTCGCCGCGTCGCTGCAAGCTGCCTAAGATGGTGTTCAAGGTGGATGTTAATGGCATGAAATAACACTCTTGCCCCGTATTTCTCGTTTCAACTCCAGAGTTTCCGGCGCGAGATCCAGCACGCCGCAGCCAAACTCGGTCTATGAGAGGGACCCATGCCACTGACATGAAGTCCGAAAGTAGGGCAAGTTCTTGCCGCGAACATCCGCGAACGCCTTTCTTCAGGTGTGCTGGAACAACTCCTTCCCATGCCATAACTATATCGGATGATCTGTCCATGCGGAGTCTAGGGGCGTGGAATCGGGCTGTCGCTTCTCCGAAGTTGCAGCAATGCATTGTTGATTGTTCCATCCGTTGACAGGGCCTTTCCCCGTCTTGCGCATTCTTGTTTGATCAATTTTGATCAGTTGAACGCGTTGCATGGGCGTTCCATCGCTGTTCCGCGGATTCCTTGGGCTTCAGTCGGGCCAGGGCACCATGATCCAGTTCACGCTTCTGGACGGCTGGGCGGCCAAGAGGATTCAGGCAAGCAACAAAGCTGTGACACACGTGTCCTTGGCAATTTCGTTTTGCCGGATATATGCGAGAAACAAATCACGACAACAATGACTGGGGCAACCGCAGGAGGCACGGCATCACAGACTAACATCCTGGGCTCTGTGACGGGCTGTGTTCCCAATTTCTCGTGACATTGGCTCAAGCTCAACAGCTCAACATCGCAGCGTACAGATCTGCTTCGCAACTTCGACCTTTGACAATGGCCGAGAGCTCTCAGATGCTGAAGCTAGCAGGCGGCATGGCTGTAGGGGCCACAGCGGTTATGGTGGCATCTTCGGCTCTCAAACAATCCTTGAGGGATTCCGTGCGATGCGATGCCTCTTCTTCTTTTGAGTACCACCTTGCAGTGCATTGCCCTGAGATCACGGCTGCAACCTGGCAGTTGGTGAAGCTTCCGAAAGCGGCCAGCGTGGTAGACTTGCGCCAAGCGACCTGTGCCGCGTTGGGTGCGGATGTGGACTTCAGCTTCTATCCGGTGGAGCGCGAGACGGTGGACGGAGCCTGCCTCAAGCTGGGGGAAGAGCTCAAAGAGATCGGCTGCCTAGAGCTGTTGCTCGCGACTCTGCCGCCAGATCACTTGCGCGTGATTCAGCTGGTGTTCGCACGGGAAGTACCTCGGCCGGCGGATGTGCCAAGTGGTCCAACGGCTTTCCCCATTTGTGGCACTTGCTTGCCCATCCTGGGCACGACCTACCAGTCCAAGGGACCCTATCCGATCCCGGAGTACAACTTTGCTCAGAACGTCTTCCCCACAAGTGGCAAGTACCCCTGGGGCTCCACCGTTCGATCTCATGAAGGGCGCAAGCAAAGTGTCGGGGAGTTTGGGGCAGCGGTCATTCACCGGGACGCCCAATACTTCGAGATCATGACCGCGGATGCCAACATCGTCCAAGAGATGATCTCAAGACCTGCAGATTTCCCCAAGCTTTGGAACCGCGATGTCGAGGTGGGTATGTGTCAAAAGAGTTAGTCCCCAAAAGATTGGTTTTCCTCTTGGTTTCCCTTTTAAGTAAGGTGAAGCGAGCACCTCAGAAACACGCCCCCAGGTCGGTTTGCAAGACTTCACCGCCAACGGGCTCTTCACCAGCAGTGAGAAGTCGGAGGATTGGAAGACGGGGCATAGTCTCCTTCCTCGCGGTTTCAATCAGATCAAAGTGAAGGGTTTTGCACCGCAGATCCTGGCCAAGACTCGTGCTTTTGTTGCGGAATGGTCCAAATTTGAAGCCGGGCAGTTGGTGGAAGGCGTGAACGAGTGGCTGACCGCAATGACCGCGGATGCTGTGGTTTCATGTAGCATGGGAATGGACATGTGCAATGTGGAGCGCTTGGGTTTGAAGCAGCCACCCCACAAGTTTGTGGAGACCTTTCGTTTTGGCCTCGGAGTGTCGATCGGAAGCATCACCACGCAGTCAGAGTATGGTCTCAAGCGCTTCCTGCCGTTCTTTGATGCTGAAGGTCAACTTCAGGAGAGGTACGAAGCCACTAAGAAGGAGATGCAGAGACAGGTGGAGGACTTGGTTGAAGCCACTCGAAGAGGTGAACTGAGTGAGAACTCCATCATTGCTGCCATGCTCAACGATAGTGCGGACGGCAAGAAGGTTCGATTCGGCGCTCTGTACGGGCACGTGGTGAATCTGATGATTGCAGGCCATGAGACCACTGCCGCCACCCTGGGCTTCACGATGCAGCTCTTGGCAGAGCATCCGGAGTTTGAGCAGCGCGCGCTGGAGGAGGCGCGGTGTTTCCTTTGTTTCTGCAAGGAGCTGGTCCCGCCCCTGGACTTGTTTCTTAAATGCTTCATTTTTTCGGCCCTCTGAATACGAACCCGAAAGGGTCCGCCGGTCCATGAATTCAGAGCTGCTCCGGGTCGCCAGGTGCGGCAGGTGCTGCAGGGCAAAAGCGAGCCGAGCGTAGAGGACGTGCCGAAGCTCCAGTTCGTGGAGCAGTGCTTCCGCGAGGCCCTGAGGCTCTACAGCCCGGTGACCTCCATCACGCGGGACGTGGCGTATGATACCCTGCTGGGCGGTCATCGCGTGTATCAAGGCGAGAGGATCAACCTGGTGACACGGGCCTTGCATACGAACCCGGAGTACTGGGGTGGGGAATTTGGAGATCCATTGAGCTTCAACCCAGATCGTTTCTCGCCCGAAGCAGTGAGGCAGCGACATCCCAACGCCTACCACCCGTGGGGCTTCGCCACACGCGCTTGCATTGGCAGTCAGTTCGCTCTCTTCGAGGCCAAAACCTTCTTGGCCTCGATGCTGATCCACTTCCAACTGAAAGGCGTTCCAGGATACAAGATGGTGGCCAATTGCGAGGGTGGGGGTGCTGCACCCTCCCCGGAGAAGTTGGCCTTCCACATCTTCCCCCGGCCTGGTGGACCGTTGTGGTCTGATGGTATCATGAAGCCCCTGTGCGTGTCCGACACGGAAGCCACGGAAGCCACAGAAGCCGAGGACGTGATCCAGGATGATGCCAGCGACAGTAGCTGAGTTGATGGTCATGGAGTCATGGCCGGAAGTGGCAAGACCTGCATAATAATGTCGAAGTCTGAGCTCGGTTGGTATGTTTCGTTTTGTTTGTACAGTTCGGGGATGAACCCCTAAGCCCTAGATCTTTGTCTGGAAGTCTTCCATTGTACAGAAGCCGGCTGCGGATCGTTGGCCGAAAGGGAGACTTGAAGTACAAAGACTGCCCTCTGGACTCGCCTCGGATCGATGGCTGTCCAAGGCAATGCTGGGATTCCAGGATGTAAGGAAGGAAGGCCCAAAGACAGCTTTGCCTCTGAACGTTTTGTTGTTGCATTGCCGCACTGCACGGTGTAGCTGGAAGTCCTCCGCAGAAGTCCTAAAGGGAGCACTGATACCACTGATCATTGCCACATTGGCTCAAGCTCAACAGCTCAACATCGCAGCGTACAGATCTGCTTCGCAACTTCGACCTTTGACAATGGCCGAGAGCTCTCAGATGCTGAAGCTAGCAGGCGGCATGGCTGTAGGGGCCACAGCGGTTATGGTGGCATCTTCGGCTCTCAAACAATCCTTGAGGGATTCCGTGCGATGCGATGCCTCTTCTTCTTTTGAGTACCACCTTGCAGTGCATTGCCCTGAGATCACGGCTGCAACCTGGCAGTTGGTGAAGCTTCCGAAAGCGGCCAGCGTGGTAGACTTGCGCCAAGCGACCTGTGCCGCGTTGGGTGCGGATGTGGACTTCAGCTTCTATCCGGTGGAGCGCGAGACGGTGGACGGAGCCTGCCTCAAGCTGGGGGAAGAGCTCAAAGAGATCGGCTGCCTAGAGCTGTTGCTCGCGACTCTGCCGCCAGATCACTTGCGCGTGATTCAGCTGGTGTTCGCTCGGGAAGTACCTCGGCCGGCGGATGTGCCAAGTGGTCCAACGGCTTTCCCCATTTGTGGCACTTGCTTGCCCATCCTGGGCACGACCTACCAGTCCAAGGGACCCTATCCGATCCCGGAGTACAACTTTGCTCAGAACGTCTTCCCCACAAGTGGCAAGTACCCCTGGGGCTCCACCGTTCGATCTCATGAAGGGCGCAAGCAAAGTGTCGGGGAGTTTGGGGCAGCGGTCATTCACCGGGACGCCCAATACTTCGAGATCATGACCGCGGATGCCAACATCGTCCAAGAGATGATCTCAAGACCTGCAGATTTCCCCAAGCTTTGGAACCGCGATGTCGAGGTGGGTATGTGTCAAAAGAGTTAGTCCCCAAAAGATTGGTTTTCCTCTTGGTTTCCCTTTTAAGTAAGGTGAAGCGAGCACCTCAGAAACACGCCCCCAGGTCGGTTTGCAAGACTTCACCGCCAACGGGCTCTTCACCAGCAGTGAGAAGTCGGAGGATTGGAAGACGGGGCATAGTCTCCTTCCTCGCGGTTTCAATCAGATCAAAGTGAAGGGTTTTGCACCGCAGATACTGGCCAAGACTCGTGCTTTTGTTGCGGAATGGTCCAAATTTGAAGCCGGGCAGCTGGTGGAAGGCGTGAACGAGTGGCTGACCGCAATGACCGCGGATGCTGTGGTTTCATGTAGCATGGGAATGGACATGTGCAATGTGGAGCGCTTGGGTTTGAAGCAGCCGCCCCACAAGTTTGTGGAGACCTTTCGTTTTGGCCTCGGCGTGTCGATCGGAAGCATCACCACGCAGTCAGAGTACGGTCTCAAGCGCTTCCTGCCGTTCTTTGATGCTGAAGGTCAACTTCAGGAGAAGTCACGAAGCCACTAAAGAAGGAGATGCAGAGACAGGTGGAGGACTTGGTTCGGATCACTCGAAGAGAGTGAACTGCATTCACTGAGTGAGAACTCCATCATTGCTGCCATGCTCAACGATAGTGCGGACGGCAAGAAGGTTCGATTCGGCGCTCTGTGCGGACGTGTGGTGAATCCTGATGATTGCAGGCCATGAGACCACTGCACCGCCACCCTGGGCTTCACGATGCAGCTCTTGGCAGGGGAGACATCCGGAGTTTGAGCAGCGCGCTGGAGAAGGCGCGGTGTTTCCTTTGTTTCTGCAAGAGCTGGTCCCGCCCCCTGGACTTGTTTCTTAAATGCTTCATTTTTCGGCCCTCTGAATACGAACCGAAAGGGTCCCGCCGGTCACTGAATTCAAGCTGCTCGGGTCGCCAGGTGCGGCAGGTGCTGCAGGGCAAAGCGAGCCACGACGTGAAGGACGTGCAGAAGCTCCGGATTCGTGGAGCAGTGCTTCCGCGAGGCCCTGAGGCTCTACAGCCCGGTGACCTCCATCACGCGGGACGTGGCGTGTGATACCTGCTGGGCGGTCGCCCGACGTGTACTCAAGGCCAGAGGATCAACCTGGTGACACGGGCCTTGCATACGAACCCGGAGTACTGGGGTGGGAATTTGGAGATCCGGTGAGCTTCAGCAGGTCGTTTCTCGCCCGAAGCAGTGAGGCAGCGACATCCCAACGCCTAC